AGACGGCTTTCATCGTGGGTCAGACGCAATATCGATTTAAACGCATGCCGTTTGGACTAGCAGGTGCACCGTTTACGTTCAGGCGACTGATGAAGCTATTACTTAAGAACTTGAAAAACGTGGAGGTTTATGGTGATGATCTCGTCATATACAGTCAGAACGAAAACGATCACGTCAACCATGTAGAAGCCGTGCTGCGACGCATCGAAGAGTTTGGACTACGCGTCAACAAAACCAAGTCTCAGATAGCCAAAAAGAATGTTACTCTGTTGGGACATAAAGTGGGAAATGGTGAGATTAAACCACTGCCGGAGAAAATTTTGACGATTAAAACGATTCCAGCCCCGAATTCAAAGAGAAAACTGAGACAATTCTTGGGTAGAGCAGCGTTTTATAGTCGCTTCGTGAAGAACTTCAATGAGATAGCAGCCCCTCTATACAGGCTACTAGGTGAGCCAAAGTTTGTTTGGTCGGAAGAATCGCAGAGGACATTCGACAGAATTAAACAGCTGCTCGACCACCAACAAATGACGCTAAAACTACCTGTGCCAGGAAGACAGTTCACAGTGTGCACAGATGCCAGTGACTACGCTATAGGTGCGGTCCTAAGACAGGACGAGGGAATCGTTGAGTATGCCAGTAGGGTGTTGACCCTCACAGAGAGAAAGTATTCAACGATAGAGAAAGAATGTTTAGCAATGGTATGGGCAGTCGACAAATGGAGACCTTATTTACTCGGCCGGCGGTTCCACATCGAAACTGATCATAAGCCGCTACAATTTTTGAAGACAGCGAGAGACCCACGGGGGAAGTTGTCACGGTGGATGTTGCGTCTTCAGGAATACGATTTTACGATCTCACACGTTCCTGGAAGTGAAAATGTCTTGGCAGATTTGTTATCGAGACCAGAAGATGAGTCTGAGTTGCCCGAGGTCGCTTACGGAGTGCATGCAGTAGAACAAGACCCACTAAGACTTGCACGTAGGCAGAGGTTGGACGATACGCTGAATACAGTAATACAGGTGATCACCAACGGAATAGAAGTGGATCAAACTACGGCGAGTAAGGAGCTAACCACACTACTCAGACAGAGGGATCGACTCAGAGTGAATGCCTACGGGACTCTGACCTGGCGAGAGAACGACGGAAGCTGGCTGGCTGTCATACCTCAATCGTCGCGCCACGACATGATAGAAGAATGTCACCAGCTAGCGCATACAGGCGTGGCCAGAACGACCGACCTCCTAAGACAAAGTATGTACTGGCCAGGTATGAGAGAAGACGTAGCAAGATACGTACTTGGATGTCCACGGTGCCAGCTGATGAAAGGTGACCGGTATATACGACCACCACTTCAGTCGATTCCAGTTACCGCGATAGGTGACTTGTGGTCCGTAGATGTCATGGGTCCATTTCCTCAGACATCCAATGGTAATCAGTACCTCTTGGTGATGACGGAACACGCGACACGATGGGTAGACGCCGTAGCAATCCCAGACCAACGTGCAAGAACCGTGACAGATGCAGTAGTTAGACACATTGTTGCAGACCACGGCGTACCGAAGACAATACTGACAGACCAAGGTCCCTGTTTCGAGAGTGAAGAGTTTACTTCCCGTTTGCAACAGCTGGGCATCAAGAGGATCAGAACGACCCCATACCATCCACAAACGAATGGCCTAACGGAGAGAAACAACCGTACACTGAAAGAGTGGCTGGCTTCGAAGGGCGGGAACTGGGAAACGGAGCTTCCACTGATTTTACTAACACATCGGGCTACCACTCAGGAAACAACGAAGAAGTCACCCTTCCAACTGATGTATGGCAGAAAACCACGATTACCGGTACACAATGAGACCTGGCCCATGCACCAAAAGTGGAGTACGACGAAATTAAAAGCAGAGAGGAAAGAGGCAGTCAAGAATGTAATACGGAAGCAGCGCAGTGATGTCACGAAGTCTCAGATGAAAGAAAGGACGCAGTGCATTACTTTTGCAGTCGGGGACCAAGTGAAGTGTAGAGACAGGAGATATACAGTTGGAGGCGGGCTAGGTTCACGGAAACTCCTTCCAAAGTGGGAAGGACCATACACAATCACAAAAAGACGGGGTCAAGTATATACCATCCGAAGAGGTGATAAACAGAAACGAGTTAACGCCAGTCAGCTACAAAGATGGGTACAGTGGGACAAGCCGGTCAGTAACAATCCTCAACTAGAGGATGTAGCACCCAGAAGGTCGGAACGTCTGCGCACAAAGCTATTTGACGGGGGGACGAGTGTGGTGAGAGCAGGCTGCTAGCCGATTGGTTGGCACTAATCTACGTTAATGTCTAGGTCACTAATATTGACCGTGAACAAGGCTGTTTCAACAACCAATCACAGCAAACCTAAATGTGGACAAATATGATTCGCAGATAGATGGCTCTACTTTCCGAGAAATATCGAACACAACCAATCATAAGACTGTGTTTGTCTGCTTAACTTCCGAGAAACAACCAATCAGAAGACTGCCTTTTTCTGCTTGCATAAGCCTTATTAATGCATATAAAATATATATAAATACGTGTTGATTTTCGTAATAAAACGATCTGTTGCCAGCCCTTGTCTTCTGTTGTTACATATATAGTTCCATATTATTTTTTTGCTCATTCATGTTTTTGTATTCAGAATTATATTCCAAGTTGTTGATAGTTGTACTGAGTCACCCTTGTTATATGTATCCGGTGTGACCTTAATGAATATAGACTCTGTTATAAGTCTTTCTTTCCATTTGTTCATGTCAGCTTTTAGAATATACACATTGTTCCAATCGATATTGTGGTTTTTATCCCATGCATGTGCAGCTATCGATGAATTTTTTCCAAGATTCTTGTAAGCTTGTGTCCCTGTTGGTTAACCTTTGGTAAGCAGTTAATGTTCATTCACTCTTATTTTGAGTGATCTGGACGTTTGCCCCACATATTTAGTTGGACAGTCAGCACAAGATACTTTATAAATCAAATTGTTTTTATTCATCATTTTTATGTGATCTTTGAGTGGATTTATTTTATTTTTGTTAGGTTCATCAGTTTAAACGATGTTTGAATGCCGATATTTTTGAGGTTTCTTTGAATTGCCCCTGATATACCATTTTTATGTGGTATTGTGACTGCCTTTTAGTGGTTTTTAGTCGCCTCACTAATTCATATGAATCTACTATTCTAGCTTTTGAGTTGTCTCTTGTCGGTCCTAGTATCATCGAGAGAAATCTTGATAGCATATACGCTGGTGTGTTTCTGAAGTCTACAATCGGTCTTATTGGATATCCCTCTTTAGGCAATTTTATCTTGCCATATATCCTAGGTACATTACAAGATTTTGGCATAATTTCAAACCATTATGACTTACCAATTACTTCTTTCATTTGTCTAACTACCTTTGCTGTTTCTTTCATTGTTTTGTGGCAGGTTGTTGCATAAGAGATGATCAAAATTTAGTGTGCGAAAGGTCAAATGAGATGATGACGCAACACGGTGAGTAGAACTCAGGTCAAGAAAAATTATCTCTTGTAAAAGTCAAACGGAAAAAAGGGGGGAGCGAAAAGATAAGTTAATGAAATTAAAAAACAAAGAGATACTAAGTGATGAGTCACTGAGGTAATTGTGTTCCACGTCGTGAAAGTGATGCCCTTATGTACATTACACTGTTGAATAAGCCCAACAGAGATGAGGCGTGACTCAAGTCATTGCATACAAAGAATGTGTCATCTACGTATACATAGTAAGCTGTTGTTTCATCAATTGTACAACTTGAGCTTTGTCTGTTCTACCAATTCATGATTTTAGCGCGACCACCGGCAATTGTCACCGGCGTATATTTGCTCTCACTTCTGACTGGCTGCACTGCGTATCTTTTAGCCTTACATACACAGACTCAACTGTGGAGGTCCTCTACACCTGTTCAGCGTGCACACACAACCACTCACACACACACACACACACACTCGTGCTTCCATTAAATAATGTTGCGAAATTAGAAGGGTAACGAAGAACACCGACATTCCTCAGTAATTTCATACTAATGAGACAATACTTCTCTTCATCCTTGAACATAATGCTGACCACAGACGACTAATTATTACAGAAAATTGTCAGTTTGACGCTGAAGACTTTAAAATAAACTCCCGAGTCACCTTTATGACCAACTCCAAGATTAAAGCCATTTTGCTAATATAACAATCATACTTTAAGTATTGGTTTGTAGGTGCCAATTCACGATAGAGGGCGCAGCAGGTCGGGTGTGAGCATAAATACTCGCCGAAGACATTGGCTAGCGGTTGCGCTATATCGTGAATTGGCAGAAGTTAGAATTCATGGGCCATTGGATCGGGTCCCAGTTGCTTAACGGTCTACGAGCTCGCCTTGTAACCAGAAGGTCCTGGGTTCGAACCCCGGTCCTTGCGTACCGATGAATAGCCCCGAACTGGGACGAAACAGCTGTCCAGTACTCTCAGGTTTCCCAATGGTTCTCTAACCAATGTCAGCTCATGATGAAATCCTGTAACCAATCACACTTTAAAAAATTGTCATTCTGGTGAAGATTTGTAACCTGTCACCTGTCTAATAGAATGTTTTGTTATTGGAATCGCAAATCTCCTAGTGTTGAACTATTCATCCAAAATGTCACCAAAATTTACATTCCTCCATCTAGTTTTTCTGTACACCTGTTTAGACATATGGACTGTTTGATAACAATAGTCAGTTTCTTCATCACAAACGCAAACTGTTAACACCTGTTAGATCTGCCAAGGCTTTCCGTCTACACCAGCTTACTGTGTTTGACTTTTCCTAATTTCAAGACAACAGTAATTAGCAAACAACTGAAACCAAGTGGCTGCCACACAATTAAATCCAACCTTGTACAAAGGAAACAAATTTTAAAACACTGAGAACTTACAACAATGTCAATATTTTAGATATCACTTTGTTAAACACGAGGAATTCAGTTCATCATTACTTACTTGAACATCTGTAGGTAGCCTTTGAATAACTTCTTCACCGATATTTAACGAGTGTGGATCACCTGAGAATTCAATAAGATCTACATCAGTAAATTCTTCTGTTAATTGACAGAGGTGATAAACTTGTTCATCATAAAGAGCTGTATAACTGACCATTCCCGCCATCCAAGGATAGCAAACGAGAGCAACAAACCAATGGGAACTATAAAGGTGTAAATAAATACGACCAGTGAATCTGTTCATATAGACTGATATATATGATTGTTAAAGACAAACATTCAGAATCAATCAATCACACAGGAAGAAATAAATCAACTGAAAATACTGATATAACACTAGGTAGGAATGGTGCAAGCAAAAATCCACTTCTCCTGATCTTATGTTCAACTTTTGAATGATTACCTGGATTGCAGCATTTCCTCTTCCCACACACACATCATCACCCTAACACTGATAGCCCCAAAATTATCATCAATGTTTCTCCAAAACATGCATGCTAAGAATACATCGAAAATATGCTCTATGTTTGCATGACTTTCATGTCGAACTGACTCAATTCCTACAATATTACCGACCCCAATTGACTGAACATAGAAGGTGAAGTGAACTTTAATTCCACCGCGAAGTCTCCCCTGTGTGACTACCATGGCGGTTCCCATGTTCACTATTCAACTAACTCCGTTTTTATCCAATGAACATTTCATACTTGTTTGTATTTACTACTGGTGTTATATGTTTTGGAGTTTTATTTCCTGAATAAAGATGGTGTGAAAGCTCCGCGTCTTTCGACACTACACTTGTATCGTTGGTAGGCAGCATTTTGTTTATTTCACCACACATACGACTACCATTATCGACCATCTGAAGGTGATCTTAGTAGTTGGATGTTTTATACTCTGATGTCTATTGATGATTCGGCACAAATGACCAGACGCAGCAATACTCAGATTTTTCTTCAAGTATATAAATATTATTTGAAACAGTTCAACTTTAGATTACTACTACTTATGCTTATTAATGTACTACTTACTAACGGAACAATGGTAATCTGATGTACACCTACCTTTCATTTATTGGAATAATGATATAATCTTTACTGAAAAGATCAACTCGACGTGTCCACTTGGCTACATTGGCGTGCCGAGCAAGTATCATTCTGTGAAAGGATAATTATTAGGAAAAAATGTGAGTTAGAAATATATATACACATAAACACGTATATATATATATATATATATACATATATAATCAGTGTACAAATGCCCAAAACTATACAGGTGAAGGTATTTTGAGCCACTTATTCCCATTAACTGTGATGAACACAGCTACATAACTTTCAACAACCATAGCATTCTCATGCCACTCATCAATCAGAGAAGTCTATTGTGGTGGAAGATAACATGTTTAATGTTATGGTGCTAGTCGCCAATAAATGTTATGTACTGCTGAGTAGTTAACTGTCCTGACGCGAAAAAGGGAAAATCACAAGGCCACCCCACGTTCACGATGATACGTGTATTTTCCAACAAAGGAAATTGATTGTAGATGTAGATAACAACGCCCCGAAAGCGATACAAAGTGATGACAGAGGAGGGCGAAGAGTAATCCAACCACTCAACTCCTTCACATCATTACTCTTGTTACATTTTGCTTTTTTTCCAGCACTTTGCAGAATAATCTTTCATTCTCAACTCAATATTTAGTCCAATTGAGATATTCCACACATACACACACGTGTACTGATATGAAGGCAAGTGAAGCCAATTCACATACTCACTCATCATTTGACATAGTAGAAAGGCATCTTCATTACTATCCCCCTACTTAAATCCTACACTTAACGCTTTGTACAGACGTCGCCCTTTCGTGATGATAACACAACTACTAGGCACTTCGTTAACAACAATGCAGTTAAAAAAAGTTATCAGCAAAGGTGGATTATTGTTTATATATATATATATATATATATATATATATATATATATATATATATATATATATATATATTTACCCCGAACGATACCTGCTACCTTGAAATAGTCTCCGCGTTGGTGTATCGCAATGATCCAACGAACTACCTACACTGGGTGTAATTAACTTTCCCACAGATCCCAATATGCCAGAATGCTTGTTTGCATGGAAGTTAGGCTAAAAGCAGCTGCCAACATAGCATAAGTCGTTTACACTAATGCTGGAGTTATGAGGACGAAGTAGCACTCCTGGCGAATAGGGAAGCAACAGGAGCTAGGTGTTTCCTTAGAACGACCAGCAAGCCAGCTATGCTGCTTCTCCGCTCTGAAGACACGTGTGATTGAATAAAGGTCGACTTCGAGGATTATACATTCTAACTTACCACCTTCTGACGGACCGCAGCCGCCAGTAAGATCTTAATACAGACACCATTCCAAAACCCACTTTAAACAGACCGTATGTGACCAGCCTCAAGTAGATGTCCCTCTGCGTTCCGCGGTCAGGCAACACAAATGCTCCTTCTGTTTCATTCCCCAAAACGAAGACAACTTTCGACAGAGAAAGAAAGATCAGATTTGCACTATAAAATGATATCATCAATCTATTTCACAGGTTCTCGTCAGCTAACTGTAAACTACCTGGAATGACAATGGTTACAAATAATAACACTTTACATTTCAATGTTTGAAAGGTAATAGAGAAAACATGACAAGATGAACGCATATGGAATACAAGTATTACAAATTTTAGTTTAAGTCACCATCAGGCAACGAAAAAAAGGTAGGGGAGGGGGTGAGAGAAGACAGCAAAACCGAGAAATCTAATCGACAGTGTTAGCTTGTACGTCAACATGGAAACTCAAGAAGGCTAAAGTTCATCAAATTGGAAACCTCCTCAGTAAGCTGAGCTCACTTAGTGTGTATGAGTAATCAGTGTAATGAAAGTAATACGGTTACCAACGGAGTGAGAGATTGACTACACTCTATTTCTGTGTGCATAAGTTTGGTCTGAAATGTTTGATTCCTGTAATTGCTTCAGCAAATTGTAGTAGATTCACTGTGCTTTGTATGTTTAATATTTTCAAGCATTTGGAAATCTCGACAAAATGATCCGTACCAACAAGGTATCTGCGAATCGCACTTTGTAAATATCTGCTTCCTTTTAGGCATAAGTTTCTTGAAATATGCTCTGAAAACCGGATAGAAACCCTTCTTTCTGTCCTTCCAATGTACGTGCTGCCGCAGGTACACGTAAATTTATAAAAGCGGTTGCAGGTAACCTCATCACATACACTGTTTGTTAGATTTCTCTGTTTTCTGTCTTCTCTAACCCCCATTGTATTCCAGATGCCTTCATCTTGTAATGTTTTCTCTATCACCTTTCAAACATTGAAGTATAAAGTATTATTATTATTTATAACCATTGTCATTCCAGGTAGTTTACAGTTAGCTGACGAGAACCTGTGAAATAGACTGATGATATCATTTTATACTGCAAATCTGATCTTTCTTTCTCTGTCGAAATTTACCAAGGGAACCAAATGTACGTCATTTTTGAGAAGACAACTTCCATGGTGTGAGCAGGTGGGAAACACACAAAGCTTTCCTACCCATCTCCTGCCTTCCACCCCCCCCATCAATTTCATTATCTTGCTTTCTTCCTACTGTTGATACTATCTCACAGGCACGTCTCTCAACTCTCCAATCAATAATACCGACGACAGTCGGAAAAACACTACTGATAGTCTCCCTTAAACTCACGTGGCCAGCTTCGTATTGCAGCGTTTAACGCCAGAACCCTTAGTCAAATCGAACAACAGGCTTCAATAGCGAGGACTCTGGCATCATCTCCAGTCATGCGTGTATGTTTTGTTTCTATATTATAAAAATAAAAGATCCAAGTGTGAATATTCACTTAACCTCACCTAGTCAATAGGGTGAACCTGCAAATTTCACCTCACGGGTGTCAGAAGATTCGTCGGTTAGTTCGTAAGAACTTGACAGTGTGGAGATGGAAATGAGTGCTAGGGCAAGAAAATATCTACTTGATATGATTCCAGTGGACAGTCGTACGCTGTTCAGCTTAACGAGTCCATCAGAAGAAAAGATTGAGATACCCGTCGATGTATTTTTATCATTTCCGCTTACACACACACACACGCCAACATACTGCATTTAGTACGGAGTAAACGATGAGTTCTGCCCAAGGCTGTCCAGTATGGTGATAAAAGTAGAAAGCTCGGATGCAGTCTTTCTAATAGGTTGGGGAACTTGTGACAGTCACGCAAGTATATTGGTGGTACCTATGGGGTTCCATGCCGACGAAATCGAGAACGGTGGTTGTCTACCATAGTTATGTTCAGATAGTAACTTTTACCTAGTCCGCACTCATTTCAAACAAATGGGGACTTACATCTTCAAATCGACGAACCAAAATAGACCACATATCGATGAACTGTTGATGGAAAGGGTCGATAGAAGACTACTGATCCTTCTGGGAAACTTGCGTAGACTTCGATTGCACCCTAGTTTGTGCACGTAAATGCCTATCATTAAACGGACCTAGAAAACAGGCACCTACGAAGCCGCTACCCCTCCCCCGCTCCTCGGTTTAATGAGAACACTAAATCTCTCTTCATGGAGGAAACAGCTTAACGCGTATCTGAAATATACAGCAAGACTCATCCTGAAGAAGTCTAGTATAATATCCCGTCAGTCAACGAAACAGAGATAGGGACTACTGGTAACCTAAAACTAAAGATTACCAAATGCTATTGGATTTATGACGCTTCGTCCAAACTGATAGGCGCAAGAAAACTTATTCCGGCAGGCTTCAAGCACGAAGAAAGACAAAAGCTGAGACGAAAAGTGCTGGGCGAAAGAGATGGAAAAGACATCAGTGAATTGAAACACAAACCAAAAAAGGCAATTATTCTGCTTTGAATTAAACCTACTCTGTTGTCGTTTCTGTGACTGTGGAGTTGCGTGTATCAACTGATACATTGCCGCCTGTTAACCGACTATAGAAAAACACATTGAATACATGAGTAGCTTGTCTCTGAAAGTCCGTCAGTTGCTCGAAGTACAAGTATTTCAAATAAAAATTGATTATTGCATCGTTTATAAGAGCTCCAGGTTCAAGACACTGAAGATCACTTTTCGTCAATGTTATACCATCAACAGATCCAGCAGGCTTATAATCAAATTTACTGAAAATAATAATTAAGGAAATTTCAAATAGTAGTCGTCTTATAAAATCTTTAGATTAGAGCAAAACAAAAGTCATATTTGCTGAATACAACCCGCATACACACTAGATAACAAGATTTGCTTCATTTGTGAGCATTGATCAACGTTTTATGTGACTGACTGATCGTAAGCAACTTTTACTTCACAGGGGAATCGATATACACTGACTTCTATAAAATGCTACTATTGTGTAAAATATGCTAATCCATCCATCCATGCAGAAGAGCTTACCCGTTTCATATCTCCTAATTGTCTCCCCAACGATAGAACGTGAATCTTAATCACCTGAAACCATTTCCAAACGATAAAAATGAAGACGCTAAAGCCTTCTGTTAGAGCTAAGAAACTAGTTATCCGTCCATTTTCGGCATAATAATTCGTCTAATAATCCAAGCTGCCAGTAGATATAATAAATATCTAGGCTTTTAGGTGATACTAGGGATCTGCGAATGCGAACACTTGAATTTCACACTAATATGTAGACTAAAATATTTTAAGAAACATAAAACACAAAAGAACTTGAACCCTGTGGTATTCAACACTATGTCGCTTCACTTATAAGATACAGTGAAACAATATCATGCAACTGATATTATTACAAACAGAATTTATCGTTCATAATACTAGTCGCCATGGTTACTCCACACATACATCTGTGGAATTCCACTTGACACATTCAGAAACAATAAATTGTGTTCTAAAAGTCATGCGGTAAGCAACAGTTCTGCTCTGATATTTCTAATGAACAAGTCAATAAAGTGAGAAGATAATACACTTTTATTTCTTCAAACATATTTCAGGCTGGAGTGATTAGTAAATAATAGTTCAGGTTGACAACCACAAGTTGTGTAACCTGAAAGCTTAAGATAAGATAATAGCTTTATTCCAAAACAGTATTTGTGATACAGAATGGAATTCTCAGCATTTTACTACAATATTGCATCCAGTTAGTACATCAACAATAAATAAAGTTCTACATAGATTAAGGTTATCTCAGTTAGTTTTGACAACAACATATTGGCATGTTTTCAACGACCCCAACCAGTTTGCTTATAAACATATTAGGAGTACGTTAGATGCCGCTGTTTGTCCTCCACCACAGCATAGTCTCTAGTTTAGATAAAGGAGCTAAATACGTTCGCTGTGCCTTCCTTGATTACACATCTGCATTTGACTCTGTTCCCAGGTCGCTCTTGCTAAGTAAGCTTGCTGCAACACAGGCTGAAAGCTGGACAAATAAGTGGTTGCATTCCTATTTTTCTGAAAGGAAGCAGTACACCGTCTACAATGGAAAATCCTCCACTACCTCACTTACTTTAGCTGGTGTTCCTCAAGGTGCTGTTCTTTCTCCCTTTCTGTTTTCGTTTTTCTTACATGACTTGCCTCATTCTGATGTAGCCACTTTTGTTAAGTATGCCGATGACCTCTCGGTTTCTATGCCTGTCAACTCTCAGTCAGATTGTTGCAAATTAAATAACTTTCTGTCGGAAATTAGTCAGTGGTCCTCTTCAAACGGACTTAAGCTTAATCCGTCTAAATGTCAGGTAGTCAATTTCACTTTCAGACGTAAATGTGACCTACAGCAACTAGTTAGCTCACATGGCCCCACTCTCATTGACGGCACAGAGGTTGAAAATACATCTAATGTCAAGTACCTTGGGCTGAGTTTTTCCACCGATCTTTCCTGGTCTTCCCACATCTTGCTAGTTACCAGAAAGATGTTTCGCTTACCGTTCTACATTAGAAAATTTAGGCAGTCTGGTATAAAGCAATCTTTACTTTCTCAATTTGTAAATTCTTGTATTCTACCCATCCTCCTTTACTGCTCCCCATTAGTCTTTCCTGGACTACTTAAGAAAGACTTTGCTTCGCTGAGAAGGGCACTAAAAGCTGTTAGTAGGGCAAGTGGGATATCGTTAAACCAACTGGTGAACACTATTGTAGATAGACATATTATGTCATGTAAGAAACAAGCGAATACAATATTGTCGGATCCCGAGCATCCTCTCTATACGCATCTATCTCCTTGCATTTCATCTGGTGGAACTAGAACCAGCTATAGGAGGCTATATGCTAGGACTACCAAGTACAAAAACTCCACAATACCATATCTGGCACAGCTGTTATGTGGTGAGAAATCCGTTAGGTATGACACGATAAACTTACTGCGGCACTCTAACAAATAGTCCCATTAGTTTTTGTTTTCCTTTCCTCGTTACTATTACACTGTTGTTCTCATCTTCTACCACACATCAACTTTATATTTCAAATCCTGTAGTGCATTGTTTGAAATGTAATACTCTACGCTGTTTTTTCTTAATTTTTAATTTTTATTTATTTTAATTATTTATAACTTATTTATTTTATTTTTATTTATTTATCTTTGATTTTTAAAAATCTTATATAATTTATGAGGTAATTAGATGCAATATACTGTAATGCACGCTGAAAATTCCATACCTGTACCAAAAGTACCGTTTGGAATAGAGCTGTTATTATTATTATTATATCGGTAGCAAAGCCAAAATTAAACAGTGTCAGGTGTTAGAAAAGTAGATGGTAGCATATTTACTGGCATAAGCGGTGACAAAATGGACGAGATATACAAAGTGTGAACGAACGAACAAGAATGTTTTAAGTAGAATTTGTAAGGAAGAAAGAAACAAAACAGCCCATAACAAAAAAACGCAGAGAGAAAGGAAAAGAGAGAAAACGTTGTACCTATAAATGATGTGAGTTGGAAAGACAAGATCCAGTTCTTCTACTGACTATTTAATAAGTTAAAGGTTTCACACCTAGTGCTTTCTTTATCGCACAGAACACGAGCTAAGCTTGCTTTCATGTAAAACGTTCTATGCTACAACATTCGTAATTGTTTTCAGTAACACTCGATAGTGATAATGAAAACTAGTCATTTATTTGACTAAATGATATAAGCAATACGCATCCCATACTTTTATGAAAAAAAGGGGGGAAAAGACCTTAAACACCATGTTCCCTATTGTGATTGATGAAGACAGTTTCAAATGTCACATCACGTTAGCTTTGTTAAGAGTCCAAGAATCCCGATGTAAACAGTAATTTAGCAACATATTGGTTTGAAAGTATCTTGGACAGTAAGGAGTGAAATTAAGTTAAAATCTAAGTAATGTGAGCAACGTGAGGTGGTCATCAGTGGCTATGGAGACGAACACTGAACATTTTAAGGAAAGGCAAAGTATCAATCACTTTAGGCAACTAGTGTAGTTTTGTATTGGCTACCAAAATGACGAACTGCTTTCTAAGGTACAAAAAAAGTTTCGCTTACAAGGAGTCTTCGTCACAATTCGTAGTCGACTCTGCTTGCACATTATCACCAGGAGGTTGAGCGGCCACAGAAGTATTTTCGTCATGTATTATGATTAAGTCGTCACACTTCAAAGAAAAACAAGTCGTTGAATTAGACAAATCGTTGTGAACAAATACAAAAGGATATGTGATCAATATATAAATACAATTTTGTTTAAATTCTTAGTAAATTACACCTAATTTCTAAGTATTCTGATGAAAATTTGATGTTAATTGGAGAAAAGGAGAATAAATATATAGTTGGGAAACAGTTTGGGAACCTATATAAAAATATAGGACTGCAGTTCCACTAAACCTTGTCGTCGTCAGTAAAGTGAACTAATCTTAAGATAGCCATCGAGTAAATGAACCATTTATCAACTGATAAAACTAATTCAACGACAAACATTATTTCTAAAAGCGAAGTTAATTCATCGTCTAAAGCTCATTAAATACTGACATTAGCAAACCATGACGTTGCATTGCAGTCCCTGTTGTCCTGTCCTGTCCTATGACAGCTTAAAGATATAGTATCTGGCCATGTTGTTTGACCCCAGTTGTTCAGAACACACATTTTTCATCTACCAGACTGAACTGTGAGTATTGTGAGAGATGACAATACCACCCAGTTGTCCGGATTCAAGTAGGTGGGGCGGAACTCGAACCCACGACCAATAAAGCTGTAAGTCTAGTACCCCAACCAATGAGGCACTCATACATGTATAATGAACTATAAAATGCACAATCCTGAAAACTCGATGAAAAATTTGATTCAATACAATAAGGTTGTGATACACTATCTAAGGTGACTGAAACATTTATTCGGTACATTAAGCCGATCTCTCTTAACCTACAATTTCAAGTGCAGTGGAAAAGATTACGAGGACATAGTACCAGCGTAAGAAGACTTAAACTTTAATAAGGACTTAATGGATTTCATAGAACATAGAGAGTGGATGCACCTGCGTCGTTAAGGACGATTTTGAGCCATATCACCAATACCCTCCAGGCAACCCGAGGACTCCAACCAGGTAGTCTACACCTCTCTACGTGGCTCAAAGCAAATGTCAGTCTTCGCCGATCACTCTTGGGTTTCCAGTTGGCAAACCACCGCTCTTCCAACAAAACCCTATATCAACTACGATTGCTCGTAGGGGAAGAATGTGGTTCGGCATACAACACGTGTTCAAGCCATCTCAATAGGTGTAGCTTAACAACATCTCCCTTACCTAGCACTACATTTATCCTCAAAATAGAGTAGAGTATAACTCCATTGTAGATAAGATTTGATTTTGATAAATCACAGTGTTATACAGTAATATTAACTGATGACAATTCGAGCACAAACTACTGATCATAATCACATGATTTTATACCATATTACACCACACTTCACAAGGACCATAGAAACATATATCTCCAATACTGTGAGCTTGGCATCAACGTGTCTTAAAAAATATTTCCAAGCTACTAGACTTCTCAAAATTTAGCAACGCATAAACCATAAAGCTATGCCACTAATTTTTCGGCTAAAAATGAGTACGTTTTAGAACTCTGTCTGTCTGGATTCAACAAAGAACTTGGCACCGAAGTGCAGCAGTTCGAGTTGCCACGTTCCAAATAGCACACAAAGGTAGACAAGAAGATAAGTGAAGAGAATTAATAGTTTGACAAGTATAAGAGTGAAACAGAATGGGTAATAAAGTCAATCTGAACGAAGAATAATCTTTTCAATAATTTCTTTTCAGGTTCTGACAATTATAAAATGTAATATATGGTTGTTACAATAAAGGATAGTTATGCGGAGGATACATTTTTAACGTAGAATAACAGATTAGTTATTAGTAATGGTAAAAAGGAATATGAAAGATTACAGAGACTGAATACATCTGCGCCATTGACAACGATTTTGAGCCATGCCATCTATTGTCTCCAGCCATTCATTTTTAGAGTCCCGAGGGCCCCTACCCGGAAGTCTGCATCTCACTGTCTGCCTGTTTTCGACATAGAACTTTGCACAAATGTGCAGCAGTTTAAGTCGCCACACTCCCTCCATGTAGCACACAAAGCAGGAGAAGAAAGTACAAGAAAGGCATAATAGAGACAGTGAGCAGAGGTGTGAGACAAAGGAAGAGTAATAACGAAGAACAGAACTGTTTCATTGGAAATCACAAATCAGAAGGAGTGGATGCATCTGCGACACTGAGAACGATTTTGAGCCATGTCACCAATTGTTTCAGACCATTGGTTTTTATCGTCCCGAGGACCCCAACCAGGAAGTCTACACCCTCCTACATGGCTTAGACTAACTGTTGTAGATTTCATTGACTGATGCCAAGTTTTTGTTTGACCGCCGCTAGCTTTTTTCCAGCCTCACCCTATATCCGCTAACATTCCTCGTCGAGGAAGGCGATGACTAGGCATACGTAACACATGTCCTAACCATCTCAGTCTTTGTAACTTCACAACTTCGTCTATTGATTTTCCCTCCCACCTACCTAGCACTTGATCGATACCTAACCTCAATGTTGCTCACCTTATTATGCCACTTTACACGGGAAATAGAGCGCAGGCACCTATGATCAAAGACAGCTAGCCAGCCTTTTCATGTCTTCCACTCTCAGTGACCAGGTCTCACAGCTGGCCATAAAGGAAGACGGAGCGGACTGATGAGCAGTACACCCGCCCTTTGGTGGATAGTCGAATATCTCGTCTACGTCAGAGACGGCGTAAAGTGGCAAATGTGAAACGAGCCCCCTGTATCCGTACTCAGCTGAGATTTCGTCAGAGATTAACCCGTTGGCGTTGGCTGATGGTACTTCTCAAATAAGTGAAGCGGTCAACATTTTCTATCACTCCACTACCTATCACTAAGCTAGGAGTTGACGTAGTCCAGTCCTGTAGCAGCATCTTAAATTTTACAGGGGCGAATCGCATGCCAAATATACGAAGATTGCTGCTCAAGGTGTTCAGAAGACTGCATTTTGTCAGCATTCCCCACCTAACAGGACTGTCATCTGCATATTCTAAGTCCATGAGACTATTACTTGGTAACAAGCCGATTCCTAAGCCATTAAGTTCAGTTTAGGATACTTCCATTAGCGCATCTATGAAGTTAAACAGAAATGGGAAAAGTGGACACCCCTGGTTGTCATCATAGAAGTCAGTATATGAGCACTACTCATGAAATAAGGAGAATAATCTATAACTTACTTCATTTGTTTCCGATTTTCCTCTACAATTTACGTTGCTTTCGTGCGTTGCAGAGCCAGAATTCGTTTTCAACTGGAAGCCGTTATTCGTAAGAGTATTTATCACATTAGTTAATAAACCACCTTCATTTACATGTTTGACTGTCTGGGATGAACTAGGTTCCACAGAATAATGCGTATCAGCAAGAGCTTGGCCTTGAACTATTCGATTTATGATTGAAGGTTCAGTAGATGCTGTACCAGTCCTTCTCAGCTCAGAACGGGGGAGACGAAGACCACAGCTAGAAAGAATTTCCCTAGCGTTTTCTGAACTACACTGCATATCACAGACTCCACTTCTCCCAATTTTGTTGGCCAAACCTTCGAGATTACTCACAGTTAAATAAAGAGGTTCGCTTGTGGAAGGTTCTCGAAACACGAAAACCAGCCATTTGACGTTAGCTGTGAGACAAATAAACAAGTACACTTTGAATACCACTAATATTCGTACAGAAAGACAAGAATGTTACTCATAGGAAGTTCAGTATGCAGCCTACCAGTTTTCCCCGAGGAGGCAAAAGCCATCGGAACACAATATATCAGTGGAAGGCTCTTCAAAATTTGCGTGCTTCATGAAGCATGACAATTTGAACAAATGCACCTTAGTGAAAAGTCCTATGCTGAAAAATCACCTTAGCGATGATTACTAATAAGAACGTATCAGCCTATTGTGTGTGAGGAGGAGGGGTGGCAATACTTCCCAGTTAACCGAGATAAGGTGGAAGAACCGCGATTCAAAGCCATAACCCACTAATTGGAAGTCAGATATTTAATAAAAATAAGAATAACAATAGTCTACTTTATTCCATAAAACAATACTTATAATACAGAATGGGATACCTATTGTTTGTCACAATATGGCATCTGATTTACTCGAAATATAAATAAATCTAACTACAGAAATTTGTCCACATTTACGGCATAAAGTCAAAAATGTTCTAAGTACAAATTGAGAATAATAAATACAACAACAATAACAGGCGGTTTGTTTCAAACACTATCGACGATTCAGTTGGGAAATTTTAGCATTCTATAAATTAATGAATCTAACGTTATGTTCATACAGCATTGTGGGGGGAAAGAGAAAATTGGTGGATCGCGTAAAGGCGGTAAACACAGTAAAGCGGTGGTAACAAATAAAAAACACAGAGGTTGCATGGGAGGAAGCGAATTCGCGACAACTCAGTTGTTTCGATACTTCCTAGTAATAAGACAACTAAGCAACATGTCAGCGTCAGTGAAGTGACTTACTACGCACGATTATCAAGCTATTGCCAGCCCAAATTACCACAACTGATGTCAAGCAGATAGCTTTCTGTCTCGTCACACTTGTGACTAACTGGGAAATTGACTACTTAGACAAATATATGTATACTAAAGGTTAACAAAAAATGCACATACCACACCAAACACTTATAAAATTACCACTCGAAACCTTACATAAAACAGAATCTCTGAGCTTCAGGTAGTTTGAGAGCTGTGACTTGTATGAGTCGTATGGCTTCAGAAATAGCACTTGAAGTGTTTCACAGAACACAAGCATTTCGATGTCGTTGGCATGAATACTGAGGCTAGTCCAAACACCTAAAAAATTAGTGATATACAAATACAGCATACCTTCAACTTTAACTCTGCACAAGATTGAAGAGGAGGTAATGCAACAGTCCTCTGAACAGCCATCGTAAATCCCCGACCTTCCAATGCTGAAAATATTAAGCGGAACAAGGTGACTGTCGCTAGAAGTTCTTGGTCTTTTTACAGATAGCGTATCATTGGCAGTTATATTAATAGTATTCCCTTTACTTATCGATGCCAGTGCCGTGTTGGGAAAACTCGAGAGTTTCTTACACAGGCTACATTTGTGGTCTGTGCGAGAGACAAAGCCTTGACAATTTGCTTGAGTACACTTCCATAAAATCCTATTCGATTCATTGTTTACGTTTCTGTGTTAGTAAAAGGCTTGTTAAAATGTACGTAAACATACAGAGACTTCTTCCCATTGGGGTCTTGAACCTGCCGAGGCATCGTAACCGCAAAGCCAAACGAACGCGCCGTCCTGTTCAAACCAAATCACCCTCTTTACACCCCTCTCCTCATTATAACTGTGACGTAGTTTTAAGTAATGTCAGAGAATTATGACCTGTTTAATGTGCTTTCATGCATTTAATCACAAATACACGTCATGTTTTGTGCAAAAATCACTAATTTTTATGGTAGGTCGTCTGAAGGTCACTCCTTCAATCGCATCCCTTGGGACGCTATTGTTGAACTTTGCCCCACTTTTTGGTAATGAGGTGAAGGTTTTTGGGAAGCTATTCTGGACAGTCACCTGACGTAGCTTCGGAAAATACTGAGGGGATTGATGGGGTAGGTTGGTTATGTTTGGTAGAATGTTGTGCGTTTACTTCGGAGTTATTCGCTTCACCCACTGGTCATTCGGTGAGGTCAAAAATGGATGTAATTAGAATGATGTAATAAATGAAAAATGAATGATTTAAAAAGGGAAGTAGCAAATATGTTGTCGCCTGTAACTTAAGATTAAATTATGCGAACTGTAAAAGGGGGCGAACGCATATGTGTAAATCCCGGTGATGTTGTTTTGCCCACCACAAGGCTTCCAAAATCCAGTATCGTTTTAACGAGCTAGTATGAACCAATTTGATTTCTTTGTGCTTGCTTCTTGATTGTGAGGTAAAGGTTTGAAGGTTAATTGTAACCTCCCGTCTTCCCGTTTGAAATGAATTTTATTTATATATATATTTATCTTATTTTGATTACAGCTTGGTTCCATACTGTATTTTTGGTACCAGTATGAAATTTTCTGCATGCGGTATCGGCAGTCCAAATTTTGCAGGCCGGCCATTGATATCAGGTGCGCGTCGGCAGCGGATCGAATCTCAGACCATGTGCATGGTCGGCGAGAGTCCTAACCACTGTGCCACCGAATCTCGCAGTCATTATTCTAGAACAAGTGATCGGTTTCCACTGCATTAGAGATTTGACTGCCACTGGTAACAGCATGATAGCCACTCAATGCCTTAGTCGTTGTTATCTCAGTGACCGGTGTAGATTACCGACTCACCAGTTGACAATGTTGTCAATCCACATCCATTCCATCTGCTCTCACAGATTCCGAGCACTTTTATGCCATATCTCCGCATTTCTTTGGCTTCATCGGCAACCTTCCCGGCTGGCTTCGCACATTGTATGTACATTCTACACCCCCATCATTATTTTCGCTTTCATCGAAGGAAGACACGTCGGCTGGCTGCCTGACTTCTTGTAGCCTGACTTTCACTAGCCAGCCTGCTGTCATTTCGCCTCTCCGATTTCGTTGAGGAACTAGTTTATTTTACATATCTCATTTTCATTGTTATTACTTTTTTGGGACGTTGAAGCTTCCCTGGCAGTATGATTGATTTTGTGGTGCAGCGTCACTAGCCCTATCCCAATCCCTTCTCTTCTCCTGGGCTTGAGACTGGCTAGGAATCCAGAGAGCTGGTAAACTAGGCGAGGTTGGGCTTGAAACGTGGGATCAACAATAATACATGAAATTACATTGATTTCGAGAATATGATTACCTGTGATAGGTGCTAATAAGATGTCCTGTCCATTATTGTGGAGTGGAGTGTATCCCGGTAGTAAGTTGTCTGTTAATGTGGCGAGCAAATAATCGTTACCACATGAGTGATTTCTTGTACTTCTGATGACTGGTTCTTTGAAGTTATCTGAACCTTGAGCCGCAGTATCTACACAGTAATCTGGTATTTGACGCGCTACTTATAAGAGACAAATAACAGTCCTGATAACTGTTTGGGATCATTACCAGATCATGCCAAATTTTGTGCACAGACTGTCCTACGCTTCACCATAAGCGCATGACATGGGAGAGGATTCTAGGTGATGATTAAGTTCCCTCGATGTAGCCAGTAGAAGATAAGTAACGAACTCCCTCGAAACTATATTTGTGGGGCACCGGTTGACAGAGAGTGTCAATAGAAGTGAACCTTGAAGGTCGGTTCATTAGCCTTGGTCACCATTGGCGGGCAACTCGAAGGCGCGAACGGTTTGATCTTGTACAAGTTCGACAAAGATGAACAAAAAGGGATAAAAGTACAGAATAATTTCGTATAAAACATTTGTTTATAGACTTATATTATTCTCCGCTTTAATTGCCAAACAATACAACTTCCTCCTCACAATACTGGAGTTTGGAGTTAAAGTTAAAGAAAGTACATAGCATTAATCGGTTCAGGGCGTCTTCGTAACAATAGGAACTTAGGGATAAGTTCCTTGACAGTTTTTATTCGTTTTCAGGAGTGCCTTGTCGGTCAGATTTCGCTCCTCTGTTCGTATTCTAGAGCACCTTCTGGGTCAGTTTTATCCATCTCTTCGTTTTACTGGAGTACGTTTTGAAACTCATCCGGGTGTACTCACTGGATCTGCAGCCAGCTTCTCTTTGGATACGGATTATCAACGCAATTTGGATTCTTTGGTGACGTTGGATAATGCCTGGGTCAAGGAAGGGACGTGGCACCGTGGAAGCAGACAAAAAAGTAAGTAACGATGAGTTGCCTGTTAATTGTATTGATATGCATGATGCTCAGCATGATGAGTCTGATGTTCACGCTTCGCCGTTTAGGGATAGTAGCGCTTTAAAGTTACCTAAGTTTGAACCTCGGTAATTCGATGGAAACCCGGCCGAATACGCACAGTTTGTCAAGGAGTTTGAGGTCATTCTGAGTGGTTTTATTTTAAATGAAGGAATGAAGTTAATATATTTGATGAGGTATTGCACTGGTGTTACTGCAAGAGCCATACAGTGCTGCAAGTTTATGTCCCCGAACGAAGGATATACAGAGGCCATGAGGTTACTACGTCAAAGGATTGGAAAACCATTATTGATATCTCGTAGTAATTATGAGACCGTGAAAGGTAATGAATCACAGTTAAACGATAATTCAGAGGAACTCACAGAGTCCTTGGAAAGTTTGGTGGTATATAGAAATTCTCCTGCGTTTCTTAATTGCGTAGGCGAATTCAATTCAAGTTCCGTGCTTCAGACTGTTACCAACGGATTACCAGTTCGTCTGCAAAGAAAGTTCATAAATATCAGCTACCGTCTAGAAGAGTAGGGCTCAGAGTCCGAGTTGGATGATATTTTGAGGATGGTGAAGGAGAGTGTCAGCCAAGCTTTGAGCGAGTTTGCTGGTATACCGCATCCCACCCCTAAAATAGGCAAATCAGAGAGCAAAACTCAATCATTTATGACGAAATGGCCTCAGAGAAGTGGATATCAAAGAAGCTTTATGGTGTCTAGTAATCCATAAAAACTAAGCGAGCATAACAGCCTTCGTGGGACAAGGTTACAAGTTGCCAGACAAACACGGTTGTGTTTCATACGTTAGCGAAAAGTGCAGACCAAGGCAAACTGTGAAGAAATGACAAAGTTTAGTGGTAAGCTTTATGTGAAATCATCGTTCTCACTACGATCCATGTGACGGTAATGGTGCAGTAAAGAAGTCTGTAGTTACAACCGGTAAGCCATTGTTGAATAGTGTCACAGACGACATCGCTGTTTGTGCAGAAGAAGGGAGTTACAATTTCAGAGTCCGGTTTTGACTCAGCAAGATTTCAAGGTATTACTAGTCAGAGTGAAGCTACAAAATTTTTAAGGATTTGTGGGGAAGAACCCAAATTATATACTGCTGTTATTAAAGGGTTTCAAAATGATGAAGTGGATCATACAAACGGAGGTAAAGTGGATAATTGCGACAGTGGTCATCATAGTGCAGATTTGTCTTTGGCTGATCGTGAAGAGATGGGTGGAATCCCTAATACTACTACTGAATTAAAAGTTCCGTACAACTTGAATGTTAAGTAGATTTAAGATCAGATGCAGTGGTAGAAGGTATGGATACTCATGAGACCGTCAGGGTAAATGATCAGCATGTAGCCCACCTATCAACAGATACTAGTGGCAAACTAGAGCTAATCATCAAAGATAGAAGTGTTGGTAATCTCGCAATTAGACAATCTTCGAAAAGCCGAAAAACAAAAGCTTCTTATGCACATCTATATTCATCGACTTGTGTCACCCCGTCGTCGTTGGTGTTGTCATCCACAACGAAGGGGACGTCCGTGAACTCGCGTGTCTTGTGCTATGACTAAGCCAGTGTCGGTCCGTTTACAAAGACGAAAGTCAATGGTCAGTTTATTGAGGAAAAGCCAACTGTGTATGACAATGTGATTCTTAAACTGACTTGCACGAATAATAATAACATATATTCTCATTTTTATACATCAGGGACGCCAGTTCACAGGCATCATCAATTCGATAAATGACACATACGATTACAAAAATAGTTACTAAAGATAATGTGATAAGATACATATTTTTTCTAGCTACTCACGTTACACCAGTTGTAAAGGCATCCACAATTATTGTTTAAATTTTATGTGTCAATCACGTCTCAAAAACCGTTAATGCCTAGCTCTTGCGACGCTGGGCATCACGATGTCCCTCGAAGCCTCTCAGAAACGTTTAGTACTAACGGACGCAAAAACCAGAACACAGATTGGCGACTCGAGAATTCCTTGTTTTAACACTAACATATAACCAGTATTGTTGGTATTACGGACTAAGGTCTAAGAACAAATATTACAACAATAAATCACGATACTATTTCTGACAGCTTTTTCTAGGTCCTTCCTGAACAGCGACCGATGAGACGATGACTGGCTGATTGATGCTTCCGCGAAAATTATGGGGAAGTTGGTTTTGAGCAAACAACCATGAATTGATCGTTCAATCTTCAACCATATTGGCAACATAGTCTGCAGTTGTTGTCATTTTGTCATTTTTAGTTTGTGCGTAAAATCTGATAATTAGTGGTTAGATGGACCACATGAAGAGATATAGAGATATTGACTTCGCACTAACAAAAAAACCCAAATATTCGTTAGATGGATTACGGATGCTTGGGAAAATAAATAAAGCTTGAAGTCAATTTCCTAACGTAACA